ACGGAAGACCCTTATCAGTTAAACTTCCATAGCCTGCTGCTATTGCTCTCCTGATATCTCATTTCTGGTTGTATAAGTATAATAAGTATTGTACTGTGACAATTGCATAAAGTAATTAATGTTGGATTTGAGCAGCTCGTTTTTCTCACCCATTACTGCCAATGTAGACTAAAATCCTCAGACATCTGAAATTTTTTTCTGGTTTTTCGAGACAGTGTTTCTCTAAAACATCTGAATTCTAATCTAGTTTTGTTGTTAAGTCTCCTTGGAGACATTGAGTATTCTTCTGACGCGTTAAAACAATAATGTCTGAAATATTTTTTGTTGAGTAGGAAGCTTTGATAGAGTGATGCCTTAAGCTTAAGACAAGTTCCAATAAACTTTCTTGTTGAAAGCAGAATACTGTGGGGTCCCAGTTTCCTTGAGCTCTCTGGTTCTTAGAGTTTCAGGTCAGTAGTGGGTAGTGAACCAGCATTTCTGTTTTCCAGTGCTGGGAACGAGCTTCATCTCCAGGATGGAGAGACCACTGTCCTCGCTTGCCTGCCCTGCACGGAAGCGTATTTCAGTGTAGAGCATCTCTGATACGCTGATTGGCTTTGCTTCATTCAAAACTGGTTTTCTTAGGATAGATTAGTTTTATTCTCCTCATTTTAACAATTCTCCCTGACTCTCACCTTCTGTGCTCAATTTTTAAATTACAGTAAAATGAACTTAGTGTAAAGTTGAGCATTTTAGCCAGTTTTGGGTATACAGTTCAGCAACATGGTGTACCGTCCATAGTTTTATGTTAAGAATGTATTTGTAAAATAAGGATGTGTAAAATTATGATTTTATTAGAGTTTATGATGTTATTTTTTAGCAACTCATTAACAATTAGAATTGGGAAATTACTTCAAAGATCATTTAATTCTACCTCATTTTTTATTTCACAAAATTTCCCAGAAGATTAAATTACCTAACCAAGTTCATAGTCGCCCCCTCCCCACCAATTGCTTTTGACAGTTTTGTGAAACACTGTATTGAATTAATTGGTCTTTTGTAAGTTTAGGTTTGGGAGAGACCTTAAAAGTCCATCTCTCTAGCTGCTGCCCCCTCCCCCACTTCTGTAAAGGTTGTTTGTTGCCTCTATTTAAATACTTCATAGGAGTTCACGCCTGAAAAAGGCCACTCATATTTTCAGAGTCATTTCATTTCCCCTTACTTACAATTGAAGCCTGTTTTTATCTTCTTCCTATAATTTAGTTCTGAATAAGTCTACTGTAGTGGTACCAAAGGACTATTTGTTTAAAATAATTTCCTTGCTTTGTGAAAGAGTGTTCTAACAATTCTTAGTTTGGTTTCTGTTGCTGTGATATACACATTTATTAGTTCAGGTCTCTACTGTGATAAAATACCATTACCGATAGCAACTTGGGTGCAAAGGATTTATTTTGCTTATCCTTCCCTGTTGAGGTCCTCAGGGCAGTCAGGGCAGGAGCTGACCAGAGGCCGTGTGGGAGTGCTGCTGTGGATGACTGTCAGCAGTCCAGAAGAGGTACCAGAAGCTCGCCCACCACCAGTGTGCTGGCATTTTCCCAGTTGAGGTTTCTGACTCCCAGTGACTCTAGCTTTTGTCAAGTGGGTGTATGACTATCCAGCACAGACCATACCCGGACGTAAATTGGGCAGGAAATATAAAGGATTTATTTCATCTTACAGGTGAAGGCCAGAGCTTAGAGCACAAGCCACAGAGGAAGGACTGCTGGCTTCCGCAGGTGCCTCTTTGAGCAGGTGCAGGTCCTCCAGGGCAGTCAGGCCTCCTGCTTGAACTAGCCACTAAGAAAATACCTCACAGACATGAGCACAGGCCAGTCTAACCTGCTCATTAGTTGAGGGTCCCTCTTCCCCAGAGACTCTAGATTTGTGTCAGGTTGACAGCTGAAGCTATGACAAGGCTGGAAAAAATACTCATCTAGCATATAGTTTCTATGAATAGTGTTTAGCCTTTAGATTCTAGTAGTAAAATACATGGTTATGATGTATAACATAATAACAATACCAAAAAGACAATAATCCAGAGGAGAGAATTATAAAGCAAGAACACTCTTTGATGTGATTTCTGCTTTCTTGAAAGTTTGGGGGAGTGTTTGGTTCAAGTTGTAGTAATTCTGTGGGGGTTCGTTTGTTTTTTGTTTTGTTTTGGACAGAGCCTTGCTCTGTAGCCCTGACTGACCTTGAATTTAGTCTCCTGTTTTCTCTGGCCTCCCGAGTGCAGGGAAAGTTTTATGGTCATGTATCTTAGGCATGGCTTACATTTTTTCCTATGGATACAAATTAGTTTCTTCTCTTTTAAGCAAGTAAATATTTACTCACTTTGCTAGCTGTGGCAATAAAGGGCCGTTTTAATTTTTTTCACTATGTAACGTAAGTGAAAGAAGTGTATATTTAGTGTTATTTACATAGCTTTTAGGCAAAGTAAATACCATTTACTGATGTGATAAATATGGAGAAAGCTTATTCTGCAGTTTTTAAAGTAATAAACTGCCATTATCTAAAGTTTTATCTGAAAAGCCATTTTCCGTAAATAATTGGTATGTTATTATTCACTGATTTTGACAGCTGGTTCAATTTTTCTTTAAATATTGGGTCATCAGTATTTTTGAACTCTTATTTAAAGCTATTAGATCAGGGTAAAACCTAGAAAACTCGCTTATGCCTTAGGAGAGTAGGAATTAGGTAATAATTCAGAGTAGTGCAGTAGTAAATTCGAGCCCCACATTCAGAGAAACAGACTCGGGATTGCTTTCTGCTGTTGTGCGCCCTTGGGCAGGTCTGAGCCTCTCTGAGCAAAGAGATAGTGGTGCTCACTTTTGTCAGCAGGTACATTTGGTTAGTACTAGAGATCACACAGTACTTTTGTAAGACTTGTATTTCTGTCACCAGATCATTAATTAGAATGGACTAAATAAGAATTTTTTTTAAAACACAGCACAGTATGTAAGTGATTTTCAGTTATTGTTAAAATATTGGCTGGGTGGTGGTGGCGCACGCCTTTAATCCCAGCACTCGGGAGGCAGAGGCAGGTGGATCTCTGTGAGTTACAGGCCAGCCTGGTCTACAAGAGCTAGTTCCAGGACAGGCACCAAAAACTACAGAGAAACCCTGTCTCGAAAATCAAAAAAAAAAAAAAGGTGCTTTTTTTTAAAAAAGTTGTCTGAGGTCAAAATTGTGTCAGGGTATGCCCTTAGCATCTTATAAAGATTAATTTTTAAAACATACTAGTATTGATAAATTGATATACTTGTGGGGCCATTGAGGGTGATGGCTTGGGTATAAAAGCATTTGCCACGTAAGCCAAGGCCCTGGGTAGGATCACTGGAAACCACAAGAAGGGGAGAAACGGACGCCCGGAAGTTGTATCCGGACTTCCTTCATGCTCCAGGCCTACCTGCACTCACACGTGATACTAATACAGCATTTACAGACTCCGGGGTTGGTGCAGCAGTGCTTTGGAAACAAATCTACATGATACCAATGCCAATATTGATGTTTCTTTTAGGAGATAGTTTATATGCTTTATGTATAAATGTATATGCTTGTGAGTCAGCTGTTTTGTTGTTTTGGGGGGTGCTTTTTCAAGACAGGGTTTCTCTGTGTAACAACCCTGGCTCTCCTAGAGCTCACTCTGTAGACCAGGCTGGCCTTGAACTCACAAGAGCTCCTCCTGCCTTTGCTTCCCAAGTGCTAGGATTAAAGGTGCACGCCACCACTGCCCAACTATTTTATTGTCTTTAGAACAGGTGTGCGTGTGCGTGCGTGTGTGTCACACTGTATCACACTAAGAGTTGGGAAGTAATATTAGAAAACAACGAAATACTAGTAGACTTACTAAAATTCAGAACTGTTCATAATGTTTAAACTAGGAATCATTTAGACATGTAGAACAGATCTATTCAACAGCATAAACAGTTATAAACAGACATGATCTGTTAGGGTTTTTGTTGTGTTTTTTGTTTTATTTTTCTTTTTTCGAGACAGGGTTTCTCTGTAGCTTTGGAGTCTGTCCTGTCCTGGAACTCATTTTGTAGACTAGTCTGGCTTCCAGCTCACAGAAATCCGGCTGCCTATGCCTCTGAGTGCTGGGATTAAAGGCGTAAACCACCACTGCCCTGCTGTTCTTGTATGTATGTATGTATGTATGTATGTATGTATGTATGTATCTATCTATCTATCTATCTATCTATCTATCTATCTATCTATCTATCTATCTATCTATCTATCTATCTATCTATCTATCTATCTTAATGTGAGATACCACCCAGTGGTTAAGAGCACTTGGTGTTTTCCAGAGGACCCAAGTTTGGTTCCCAGTACACAAGTGAGGAATCTCACAACTGCTGTTAACTCCAGGTCTGTGATAACCGGTGCCCTCTTCTGGCCTCGGCAGGCGCTTGCACACGGACCTGCACGTGGAAGAAAACAACTACAGCTACTACCAATGAGTGCTCACGTTCTATCAGTCTGTCAGACTCAGCACAGCCCTGACTTTTACTGCCGTAGTATTTACAATTACCAGGAAGTGTAGATAGGTACCGAGAATGTTGTGCATATATGTGGGATTTTATTGAGCTGTAAAAGACAGTGAGATCATTTGCAGGGAGTGCGTGTAACTAGAAGTCATCACATTAAGTGGAATAAGCCAGACTTTAGGAGACATACTGTATGTTTTCTTACATAAGCAGAACCTAGATTTAAAATCACATATGTATATGATAATGAAAATGACCTGCAATTGAGAACTATTAATGAATGGTTTTTTTTCTTTTAACTTTTTTTCCAGTGTGATTTCAAATGATACTGATTTGATTTTGGGGAATCACTGTTTATTATGGCTATAGTACTTAGGATTGTATCATCTCCACTATAGTTTGGTACAGTGGTTATTTAATAATGAACTTGATTTTCATCCATTAGAATGTTCACACAAGGATTAATTTTGTATTCTTTTCCTTCTCCTTTAGTAAAATAAAGCAGGGTCTGTTACCTAGCTTGGAAGATTTGCTGTTCTATACGATTGCTGAAGGACAAGAAAAGATACCCGTCCACAAGTTTATCACAGTAAGTTTTTATCGTTTCCTCTCAGCCTTCACAGAAGTGATCCTAAGTCAGTTACATACTACTCCTGAAGCATAGTCTTCAATTTTATCTGACCTGTAGGTTCCGACAGGGTTTCTCTTGTTTTCAAATTATTACCATGTTCACTTCGAGGTAATCAGTGAAAGAAAAAGAAACAGAAACTTGCCCAGAAAGTGGATAATAGTGATATGAATACCACATACTTGATCAAGGCTTGCGTAGAAACCTTTATGTGCAGGAATAACACTTAGAGTTGGATAAGCATGTGCACATTGTCTGCGCTGTGTATTTACAAACTCTTATTTTTTTATAAAACAGGCACTCAAATCTACAGGATTGCGAACGTCTGATCCCAGGTTGAAAGAGTGTATGGATATGTTAAGATTAACTCTTCAGACAACGTCAGATGGTGTCATGCTAGACAAAGATCTTTTTAAAAAGTAAAAATTTCTGCCAAACCTTTAATGGTGATTTGCTATGCTGTATGCTGATTGTGCTTTTAAAACAGTTTTACGTTTTAAAGACCAGTGCTTTAGTATAACTGAGAAGTGGTTTGTAGATGCCATGTCTCTGAAAACAGTGATGGCGCACACGGAAGTTCTAATCTGCTTTAATGAAGCTTAGCTATCAATGCTGTTTTGTGCCTAGAGTGTTCTGCTCTGTCTACATTATTTGCTGACTTTTTCAATTTAGTCTGTAAGTTTGTTTTCATACGGTGATTTCGATGATGAGCAAGAGAGGATTTTACACAACTTTGTAAACCATATTTGCATCACCTGATTCTGATATTCTGATTCTTTCGAATGTATTCATGAGTGGGTTTGGAGCTATTGTCTTTTTTTTTTTTTTTTTTTTTTTTTTTTTTTNTTTTTTTTTTTTTTTTTTTTTTTTTTTTTTTTTTTTTTTTTGCAAAACAGTTGAACTGGACAGCTTTGAAAATTAAAACATTGATTTGGTTGTATGAGAAGACTTTGACATTGTTGTATTTGCAGATCTGTTTCTTAATCTTCTTTACTGTATTTGTATTAGCCTTAAGAGTTTTCTTTAATGATTTGTTTATTTCTATTTCCTGTGCATTGGTGTTTTGCCTGCATGTATGTCTGTAAAAGATCCCCTGGAACTAGAGCTGCAGACAATTGTCAGCTGCCCTTTGGGTGCTGGGATTGAACCTGGATCCTTTGGAAGAATCTCTCCAGTCCCTGTTTTAGCTTTAATAGAGAACATGTTTATAATTGATCCTAAACAATCAAATAATACTTTAATTTACTGATAGTTAATAGAAGGCAGTATAAAATTTTAAACAACTCTAAGACTTTTTTTTCCATAAGCTACAGGCTTAAGTTAAGATGGAGCCAAGGAATTTCTTTTATTTTTTTAAAGATTGATTCTTTTATTGTGTATATGGTGTTCTGTCTGCATGTGTGCTTGCACACCAGGAGAGGGCACCAGATCTCATTACAGTTGATTGTGAGCCACCACATGGTTGCTGGGAATTGAGCTCAGGACCTCTGTAAGAGCAGTCCATGTTCTTAACCTCTGAGCCATCTCTCCAGTCCTGGATCCAAGGAATTTCTACATTTATTTTAAAAGTGTGTGTGTGTGTGTGTGTGTGTGTGTGTGTGTGTGTGTTTGATTACCTTTCTTTTCTTTGGTGGGTTGAATGATTTGTTCTGGATCTCACTTAGTGGTATCCCAGAATCCTTGGGAGGGATAAGGTAAATATTTAAGTAAGGTTCTCTGAAGTTTCTGGCATACTTGTGACACTTCTGCCGATTCTGAATTCTCAGCAGAAGACGCTTGGTTCTCTTAGTGCAGCCAGGTTTAATGCGTAGCAGTCCAGCTCCCTTTGCAGTTGGTGTAAAGGGCGTGGATTCACCTCTAGATGCATTTGTGCCACTGGAGTAAGGATTTGTCTAAGGAACTATCTGTGCAAAGTCCTCTTTCTTGATGATGGTGCCTTTGGGAAGTGTTGTGGTTCATCTGTGAGCACAGTTAACTGATGGTGGGCTGGCTTGTGAGTAGCAGGTCTCGTGACCTCGCTCTGGGTCTGTAAGGGAAGGCACTAAATCGCACATTTAAACCTGCTTTAAAAGATGTTTTATGAGCATTGTTTCATTATGAAATTAAAAGCAGTTTAATTATTCTCTTAGGTATGAACCTTAAGAACCACAGTCATAAAATTCTGTTTGTAATTGAATTAATATATAATAATTTCCATAGCTTTCAAACACAAACTCAAGTTTTAAAAATCTATAATTTTCTTTATAGGCAGTCCCCAACCTGACATGGAAGCACAGTAGTCTGTGTAGTAGGTCTTAGTTGAGTGAGTTTTCTTTTCAGTTCTAGAATGAGGTGACTCAACCTCTGACTATGAGCATTTTCAGGTCACTTAGAAAAGTGGTTATGCTGGGCGGTGGTGTTACAATACTTGGGAGGCAGAGGCAGTATCTCTGTGAGTTCGAGGTTGGCCTGGTCTACAAAGCAAGTTCTTGGACAGGTTCCAAAGCTACAGAGAGAAAAACCAAAAAGAAAAAAAAGAAAGAAAAATTAAAAAAAAAAAAAAGTGGTCACTGCACAGAGGTCTCATCTCTGATCTCCAGTGTATGAGTCACCTACTTGGGGGTCTCAGAAATAGCCTCATCTCCGTTCTGCTGGGAAGGAGCTGTTCAAACACGGAGTTCCTTCTCCCGAGAGAAGAGTTTACAGAGGGAGATAGTTCAGATTTGAGTGCAAGTGTTGAAATTTTTCCCTAGAATATAATATCTACTAGCCTTTGCAGTAGAGAAACCAGTGTTGTGACTTTTGTAAAAATGAAAACCGAATTTTAGCATTTGAAAGTTGAAGGCTGTCTGTGCCTTTCTATATAATCAATGTCTTTATTTCAATATTCATTAAAGTTACAGGGAAGAAACTATGCTAACACGTTCTTTATTCACTCATTCATTTTTAGACCTCTTTGTATGTGTGATCATAGTTTTTGGACTTGTTTTTAGAGACAACAAATGGTGTGCATTTGTAATTATTTGGTTTTCTAAAAACTCATATTACTAATGAAAAGTTATGTGAGAAAAGATTTTGTAATACATTAATGTACATAGTATTTGTAAGACCTGATTGTCAAGAAAGTGATCGGACAAAGCACGAGAAGGATTTTTGCCTGCTGAAAGGCAGTTTTTCCTCAGTTTAAATAATTTCTGCTTTATAGTACACCAAGTCTCCACTGTTTGAGCATCCCTCACTGTGTGTAGTTAAGAGTATTCTGAAGGCTGAAACTGTCTATCATGGTAACTTACCACTCAGGGGTTAAGAGCACCAACTCTTCTTCCAGAGGACCCGGGTTCAATTCCTAGCACCCACATGGCAGCTTACAACTACCTGTAACTCCAGTTCCGGGATCTGACACCCATGCCCAAAACACCAGTGTACATTTAAAATATGTGTGTAAGTACGTGAGTGCGTGTGTGTGTGTGTGTGTGTGGTTTTAAGGCTGTTGCCATGTGGTTTTTGCTGATGTCTTATGCAACAAACTTAATTGTATAGTTTTGTTGACTAAATCCTCTTTAAGTGTGGTGATTAATTTTTATTTCCAGATTTATGTGTATAGGCGTTTCTATGCTCACATGCACATAGAGACCAGGAGAGGGCGTTGTATCTCTTGGAGTTGGTGTAGCAGACAGCTGTGAGCCATCACGTGGGTGCTAGGAATTGAACGAAGCTGGGAATGCAGTGCTGCCCCTAACCACTGAGCCAGCTCTCCAGCCCCTGATGAGTTTTAAGCATTTAAAATAATAGTGGGGGAAATAGTAATGGGTTAACCATTTAAATTTGTTTGGTATATTTTATTTGTTACTTCTTAAAAATGAAGTATATTTGGTTTAAAAATAAGAAGTGATTTATTTTTCACAAGTACCTTAAGCTTTTTCATTTGAGAAAGGTATCCTTGTTATATTTCCCTTACAGCATTATTTTTAGAAGTTGAATTTTAGAAGCTATTTGAGATATTTAAAAATTAAATATTTAACCAATGAGAATATTTATTGGTGTACTACTCAACCTCTTAATTTTATTTACTTATCCATGAAGCGGGGAAGCTCTTCAGAAAGTATTGATATTTTTAAGGTTAAACATGCTCATCATTAATAATGCCCATTATTTTTCTTTTTCATCCATGCATGCTAATTTAGCATTGTATCATTTATCTATGAGGAATCCAGTTACATTAATATCTTGTCTTAGCAACGGTCTGACTTAAACTTTTTTATTTTTGTCTTTCTGTTTGTTTGCCAATTATCTATCTATCTGTCTGTTGGTGTTTTTGATACAGGTTTCTCCTTGTAGCCCTGGTTGTACTGGAATTTACTGTTTAGTCCAGGCTGTCCTTGAACTCAAGAAATTGAGCTGGCTCTGCCTCCCAAGTGCTAGGATTAAATGTGCTATTACCACCTGGCAATTTTTTTAAATCGTATTATGGGCCTTGCCGTAGAGTATTAATTATAGTTTTGTTGTATCTTGACATTCATGAGTTTAACATGTACTGCTGCACCATCTTCAAGGTTACACTGACATGCTTTTTGGCTGAGTCACTTTCAGAAGAAAGCAGAATTTGGTTAAGATCACCAGAGTGCTTACTGTGTCTTTGAGATAATTTTTAACACTGAAACATTTTTTATTCTTTAATGTGTTACATTTACATCAAGCTTGCTTTTGGTTTTGCTAATATAAAATTTAATATACTACTTCATAAGAAGTTTAAAGTGTACATTATTTTTATAAACATCTTAACATTTTTCACTTAGGAAAATTGAAGAGTTTGATCATGATCTTACAAAGCTTTCAAAGTGTTATTCAGGGAATATATATGCAATTACTTGAAGTTTTTGTGAAATGCTACCCAGTAGTTATACAGAAGCTAAGAAAGATGTTAAAATTGAAAAATTTTCATAATCTTGTTTATGGTGTCTTAAAGATTAGTTTTTGTTAACCATATATATTAATCTCATTTTGAGTATTTATCAGTTCTAGTAGGATGTGAAATTTGTTCTAATGCTCAGACCTTAAAGAATGCACTGCTGTTTTAGTGCCTGGCACAATTTTAGGCACATCTAATTTATTTCTGATCTGTTCAGGTAAGCCGGACAGAAAAAATAACCTAGGGAGAGTATGTCTTAATTTTTAAGTCAATTCTGACTTGTTTGCCTTACCTCCTTTACCGATACCTGCTACTGTTCCCAGTTAGTGCTGCTAGCAGGTGTGATGACTGAAAGGCGCCCACTCTGTCTTTCTGTCACATTTCACAGGTGCGTTCAGAGCAACATTGTCTTGTTGACACAAGCCTTTAGAAGGAAGTTTGTCATTCCTGACTTTATGTCCTTCACCTCACACATTGATGAGTTGTACGAGAGCGCAAAAAAGCAGTCTGGAGGGAAGGTAAGGTTTGGATACACCTTTTCCTGATAGAAACATTTGGTGTAAAGGGAATAACCTGGGTATTTTGTTTACAAATTAAGAGAGCAAGTCAAGCCACTAGATTTGGTGCTTTTTAAACCATGTTAAGTACTTAACTCCTTTTTGTTATTCTGCCTAGAGTGAAACCAAGTTTTAAAAGAAATTTAATTTGGAAAATGACTGAAGTGGCTTTGCATTTTTTTAATTAATAAGGATGACTGACATTTCTGCAGATTTGATATCCATTAATATAAAGTAAAATATTTCTAGTTTTTAAAGATTATCCAGGGAAAATCAAGCACGGTGGTTCCCCTATAATCCCATCATATAGGAGTTGGAGAAAGAATCAGGAATTCAGAGGAAGCCTCACTGTGTAAGCAAGTGTGGGCCCACCCTGTCAGCCTGTGCTTCAGAAGAACCTGTAACACACCTGCCCCACAGATGAGTCCTCCCAACCAAGTTCTCCAAGTAGCAGCAGAGATTTTCGTACAATCTCAGTGTTACAAGGTTGAAAGCTGTTAGGTTTTTCCTTTTTTAAAAAAGTCTTTAGTTCTTTAGTCTGTGCGTGTATAGGAAGAACGATTGCATTGGGAATTAGAGAGCAGGGAGAAGCCACCCAGCGTCGTGCAGGTGCTGGGGTTTGTGGATTGGCGCTCCTAGTTTTCACAAGTATCATTAAAGGCCAGGTGGACGTTCCTGAGTGCTAAACAGCTAGTCGTTGGCGAGAGAAAACACTGCCCGGCTTGTGTCTCTTAATGTCTTTCCAATGTTTTGGATAGGTTGCTGATTATATTCCTCAGCTGGCCAAGTTCAGTCCTGATTTGTGGGGTGTATCTGTCTGTACAGTAGATGGGCAAAGGTAAGTTTATTTAAAAATCCATGGAGACCAACTTTAACCCTTAAATTTTGCATAACAATAGACATGAAGCAGAAAGAAACATGATTTTGAGACTGGTCTTGAACTTATGTAGCATAACCTATCACATTATCAGTCAATTTGCAAAGTAAAAGTCAGCTGCAAAATACAGTCTTTTATATGTATTGTATACATGGAAACTGTATTTGTGAAGCAGCCGATGATGAGGCTTCTTGCAGAATTATCAGAAAGTGTTATTATGAGGGAGAACTATAAAGAGAAATATTTGACTTTAAAATCTGGATGAAAACCTTTGGAAAAATGCTGAAGTGTGGGAATGTTTTTTCAAGAACTATTTTTTGGGGAGAGGGGGCTTAGGAGATGATGCTTGGTGAATAAAGTGTTTAGTGTGCAAGTGGGGAGACCAGAGGTGGTCTCTGGCACAGACTCTCGGGCAAATGTGACTCCCTGTAATCCCAGCAGTTGGGAAGGGCAGAGAGATCCTTGATGCAAACAGCTACAGAACTAGGGAATAGCGAGCGCCGTGTTCAGTGGGAGGCTGCTTTAGTAAAATGGAGAGGATGAAGGGCTTGGTGTCAGCCACACGTGTGCACACAGGTCTGCTGCTTCAGTGTGAAAATGCACACACACAAAACTCAGTGCAAAAAATATTTTGCTGGAAGTCAGACATTAAGTGTCATTGTCAAGTTCTAATTTTATGTCAGAGCAGTTATGCCGTAAGTCTCGGTGTTCTTCCCACTAAAAGAATTTAGCTTAGAAATATAATCTTTCCTTAAAATTACTTTTTAAAAATTGTTTTTATTTAGCTATGCAGTTTTGTTTGCTACCCTCCCTTCCTCATCTCTCCCTGTCTACCCTGTTCTGTGACCCCACACTCCCAGTTTACTTGGGAGATCTTGTCTTTTTCTCTTCCTGTGCAGTTCCCCATGTTTGTCTCTCTCAGGGTCCTCTTTGTTGTTCTCTGGTGTTGTGGATTGTAGGCTGATTTTTCTTTGCTTTATGTCTAAAAGCTACTTACGAGTCAGTACATATTTTTGTCTTTAAAATTACTTTTAAAAATGAAAATATAACAACATAAAAAGTGTATGTAACTGGGGCTGGTGAAGTGGCTCAGCAGTTAAGGCTTCCAGAGGTCCTGAGTTCAATTCCCAGCACCCACATGGTGTCTCTCAGCCATCTGTAATGGTAACGGGATCTGATGTTCTTTTGTGGAATGCAGGTGTGCATGACGACAGAGCACTCATGTGTAAAAACTAAATACGTTTTTAAAAATGTATGTAGCTTGTAGATATTGTTCATACAAGTTGATGAATTTATATTAGTGATGCAATTTTATTTTATTTTATCTTTTCCATTTTGAACGCCAGTTTCTTTATGTGGCTGGGCTGGCCTAGAACTTAACTCTGTAGCGTAGCCTATTCTCAGACCTTGTATCTTCATGCCTCTGCTTCTGATTTGGTTATAGGCATGTGCCACCATGCTTGGCGGTACCCTAAAGTTTGAGGCTACAAGTCAGGTAAATGTAGAAACTTTAGGTTTTTCTTCTTAAGGTAAAGTTGAAAACTTCTTCATCTGTGATTTTAATTATCTAATCTGAAGTGTCCTTAAGTTATAATAAAAAAGCGTAAGTTTTTTTATTATAAATAAACATGTTAATTTTTCTAAGGTGTAATTTTTGAAAGGCCTAGTTTACTCTGAGATCAGGTGGTAGTAAGAAAAACATACTGATTTAACATCTAATAAAACTTACTTTGACTAATTTAAGCTTTTGCCGTTTTCTTTGCAGTATCCCTCTTCAACATATTCTTTTAATGTTTGTATTCACCCACACTCACACACGCTCTCTCTCTTTGAGAAGATAACCTGAGGATAACCTCATTACCGTGGGTCCCAGCCATTACACTCCGGTTGTCAGGCTTGGTGGTGGGCACCTTTCCCTCAGCATCATGTAGCCAGCCCCTAAACTTCCTTAATGTTGAAGTAAACATTTACAGTTGAATTAAAAATGTTTATTGATTAGAATTACTAATATAAAAAGAGCAAGTCCGGCCATGCAGCTGTTTCCAGCTCGTGCTAATTGTTTTTTAAATCTACTTGACTAGGCATTCTATTGGAGATACCAAAGTCCCCTTTTGTCTCCAGTCCTGTGTGAAGCCCCTGAAATACGCCATTGCAGTTAATGATCTGGGAACTGAGTATGTGCATCGCTATGTTGGGAAAGAGCCAAGTGGATTGAGATTCAACAAACTATTTCTGAATGAAGATGGTAAGGAATGTTTACAAGTCGGTTAGAGAAAGAAATAACTCATTTTTCTGCTTAACTCTAAGTAATTTGAATTCTGCTTTTGAAGAAATCTTTTCCTATTTTTTTAAAACTTGACGTCGAGTTTCTTTAATCTTTAGAGGTTTTTTTTTTATGTTATCTTACACCATCAGCAAGAGCAGTAGGGAGGTAAGGGCAGGAAACGCATTCCACAGGTGGTACGGTGCACACTTGTAATCCTAGCAGATAGGAGATGGAGTAAGGTGGGCCTGGAGCTCGGTGATGCTCTCAGCCCATAGCATTCGAGGGCAGCCTAGGCTCCATGAGCCCTGCCCATTAATAAGTAAATAAGTTACATTATAGTCACCTATCGAGGGTTTCTGTTAACCTTTGAAAATGTTTACAATGTGCTTACGAGCAGTCCAGTGGGAGCAGCTCATAATTACTCTGAGTGTGTTGCTGATTTCAGTTAAAAGAGCCTGTTTGGCAAGGGTAAAGAAATAGCTAGGTTCAATCTCCTTACCAGTTTTATTGTTAGAGGCTCTGACCTCAATTTGTCCATAGAATGAATGTATAATCACTCTTAAATAAACGTCATATACTATAAAAGGGCATATAGTTTTTTGTATTTTACCATAATCTTTGCTGTTTTTTTACCATAATTTTATGCTAATATAAATTAGCATATATTGGCAATTTTATTGAGGATGTTATATTCTGAGATATTTATTAGGCCCTTTGACCTCCAAGTTTAATAAAAACTTGTTCTGTTATTCCTGGAATATAAAACATTTTACAATATAATGAGCACTTTCCTTTGGAAGGCAAGGGGAATAATCTAAGTCATTCTGGCAGATACATTGATTTTTAGGAAGGTATTTAAACATCTAAAAACAAATGTAGAATTTGAATATTAGACATCTTTTTGAGAGGCTGTTTAAATGCTTAGTGATTACGAGCACTGGCTTATCTTTGAGAGAACAAGATGTGCTTCCCAACAGTGCATGGTGGGCTAACAGCTAACTACAGTGTCAGTTCCAGGTGATCTCAGCGCCTCTTCTGGCTGCCTCCACCCCAGGCACATACATTGTGCAGAGACATACGTACGTCCAGGAACCCCCCCCCATACATGTAAAATAATATAGCATCTTATAAAGAATTAAAAAATGTTTGGGTAAATAAATTTAGCATTATTAATAATTTTTGCCATGTTCATGAATGGTTTTTAAAAAGTGGTAATATGGTCTATGAAAACAGTTGTGATGAGAGCTCAAGGTTTTAGTACTAGTTTTTCATAAGAATTGAAATAGGAAACTAAACCAAAGGTCTTGTCTACCAGCAGTCTTGATGGCCAGAAGAAGGCTTAGGGTCCCCATTTGTTCCTGAGTTCTCAGGGGATGCTGCGTTATTGAATCTTGGTTTGCACCAGACCCCACACAGAACAGTTTGAAGATCATTTTCTCACTTAAAATTTCACTAGTAGAGTATTTGTGCCTCTGTTCACTTCGGATCAGAATTACATGGTAATAATTATCCCTCTTGCTATGTGAGGTTGTAATAGTAAAGATTAGTGTAAGTATGGACAGATGAGCAACAGCTGTAGTACCCTGGAAGAATACGTAATAAAGTGTTTGAGATGTAAATACTTTTTGTCCTGAGATCGGCGTTGGCTGATACTTTCTATCATCGTGAGGAAACACATCTGTGGAGGTGGCAGTCTTGGAAAATATCCTTATCTTCAATGATACAAGTCATGATAGCACAGTTTATTCATTGAAGCACAGCTCGAAGCTAGGGTTGGGAGTCTGCAGACCTGTGACCTCATCTCTCAGTTGTAGATAGGAGTAGTCATGAGTTTGAGGACAGACTGGGTTACTTATAGTGTTTCAGAACAAAAACAGTAGCAAAAGTATACAGTGCAGTAGCTTTTACTATATTCATGCCCGTCAAATTGGAACACTGTGACCCCCTCCACCACAAAGTCCATATTCACTCGTTATTCCCTGTCTCTGTTTAGTCCTGGAACCCGGCTACTTATTAGTTATTATATATACTTATTATTATATACTTATTTCTGTCTGTAGATTCATTTATTCGAGAAACTCCAGTTAAATGGGATCACTTAATATTTGTTTTTTCATGACTAGCTTTTCTTAGCTTAATATGATTAAGGTTCATGTAGTTTATTCCTTTTTATAATATTCCATGATTGATAAACCATGATGACTGGACATTAGACTTCTCTTGGTTACATGGCTAAGCGGGATGGCTGGGTCCCATGGCGACTGTTTATTATTTTGCGGAACCATTTGACTGCTTTCTCAGAGCTTACAGGTTTAGCTAGAGGCTTGTCTTGTGGAATGTAACCTGTTCATTCAAGGAAACCAATGGTGTGTATAATACAGGTAAATGTCTGTGTTCGGACTGTCAGGTTCAATAAGCTTATCCCTGAGGAGATAAATCATTGCCACGGGGAAGTAGGCGTTTGTTTTGTTATTTGAGGCCGGAGCTCAGGTAGCCCAGCCTGGGATTAGGAAAGAAGAACACTGCCACACTTTGCTGGAAGTCTTTCAAGTGAGTATTTGTAATGGATTGGAGTTGTGTGTTCATGATTCACGAATGCTAACGTCATAAGTTAAGCTTTTAAAATTTCATTTAAGAATTAGAATTGCTAAGCTTTTAAGTTAATCAACTTAAGAATTACAATTAAGAATTTAAAGAATTTCAATTTTTAAAAGTTTAAGAATTTAAAAATTAATTTTAAAAATTTGCATCAATAAGCAAGATCCTAATCAATTTTTGGAGGTCCTGTGATGGCTCCACATGACCAATGAAAAAAATTAATTTTAAATTTAAGAATTGAAATAAGTTAATTAAAAATCAATTCAAGATTTAGAAAAGGTTAGGATTATGGGTTAATTTAAAAGTTAAATTTTATTTAAAAAGACTGGAGAGATGGGCCAGTGGTTAAGAGCACTTGCTGTTCTTGCAGAGGACCCAGATTTAGTTTCAAACACCCACATGGTAGCCCAAAACTGTCTGCAGCTCTAATTGCTGGGGAGCTGACAGCCCTCTTTGGCCTTTCCAGAAACCAGTTATGTGTGTGGTGCACATATATACATGCAGACAAACACACAGAAATAAAATACATCTTTCAAAAAGCTGTTTAAGAAGTGTTGAAGGTACAGAGGATATATGTTAAGTGAGTATAGTTTTATTATTTGGGCGTGTTACTAGTGTTTGTGTTGATCTTCAGTGGATATACACACACATGCGTACACACACATGTGCATAAATGCAAGAACCTTTTTAAACAGTAAAATTGGAGTCATACCAGATGGCTTTTTCAAGAGTATTTGTAATATAAAGTCCATTAGGGGTCAGCTGATGTATGCATTTTGTGAACTTTAATAGTAACTGAGATATTTAATCATTAGATTAAATAATCTGCGATAAAGACTGAGACTGAAAAGGCAGGGTTAAGAAAATTGGATGTTCTTCTAAAACTACTTTTTACAACTGCTGTGTGAATTCTTTTTTTACTATGTGGTATCAGCAGAATCCTAGGTGTGAACAACTGGTTTATATGTACCTTGCTCCAAACAATCCTCCTGCAGAAAAGTACGTGTGCATCCGAGGAAGTGGTGCCAAATATCTGAAACAGTGCTGTTGCTTTATGTTTTCAGATAAACCACACAACCCTATGGTAAATGCTGGGGCCATCGTTGTCACTTCACTGATAAAGGTAAAATGTCGGCCTTTCCTTTTAACCTAGTCAAATGTTTTAATAACTAAGGAATAAATATGTATTTTGGATTGTTTGTGTAGGACTATGATACATTTTCCTTGGTATTAATAAAATAGTCTTGTTATATTGGGCTAGGGTTATCAGTCCGTGTTTCCCCCCCCCCCCCCCCCCGCGATGTCCTTTCAAGTATAAAATGAAAACCATTGGACTCACCATGAATCCCAGCCATTAGTTCACTTCTCCATATAAAGCTTTTGATCAGTAGGCACTGAGGTGTTTCTTTTTAAGGTTTTTAATCTTTTTTTTTCTCTTCTAGAAAGAGTAAAATTTTTTTCTAGAAAGAAGCATTTTCTGTATAATATTTTTATTAGTTAAATGCTGGAGAAAATGTTCTAGTTTTTGTTTAAGACAAAATATATTATATTAAAAGAAGTAAATTATTTTTATTCTCAAGCTGGGATCGCATTTTTCATTTAAATTTGTTTCATTTGTTTTACTTTTATCATGTCATAAGTAAAAGAAATAAGGCTTCTTCCAATTATTACATTACTTACATTTCTGTGTTTGCATTGTATGTGACTTTTTATGTTAGTGTTTGTATTGCTTCAATAATTGGAAGCTAATGTTTTGAAATAAGTATTTCAAAATGGTTCTGTTGTGTGATAGACTTTTGTATTTATCACACAATTTCAAACACACACCCTTTTTATTTTTAATTTCTATTTGTGTTACTTATTAAAATGAATTTTGTGTTTGGGTCACTTACGTTCCTCAGTAAATTTGTGCCTGTCTATTTCAGGTTAGAATAAAACATAACTGATGGACTTGTATATGGATACTATAGATGGGGTACTGTGGATGCAGACAGAATGCTGAAGGGTAAATTACAGGTGTAGCCCAGTCCTCAGGAGCTCATCCAGCTATCGTAGAAGCCCTGCATTAACTCAGTGAGGTTTAAAGCTGCTCTCTTAAAAATATGTTCTTTTAGGGCAGTAATTTATAAGCATTGGCCCACTTGGCTCTAAGTAGATTTTATAGCCAAATATCTTTTAATGTAGCTAGTTTGACTTGAGTTTCTGCTTTCCAGTTATCCTGAGGTGAAAATTATTGTAGAACATAGCAGTGCAGTTATATAGAAGGCACACTGTGCTTAGGTGTCCTTAGGTAAATGTATACATACACAAGTGGGCCTTTGTCTCTGAATCCAGTAAATGTCCGGAGTCCATAAGATTACATTTATTTTAGTGGGCTCACTGACTTCCCTGAAGATGATTCATGGATTTCATCTCAACGACTGCAATGGAGGGGCTGTCGTGTTGAGGATTCCTCAGTTACATGTGACTTAGAGGTAGCCCGGCAGAATTGAGATGAGATCCTGCTATAGGAAGTGAGGTTAGCATGGCATACCAGTAGGGTCTCTTTAGAGGACGCTTGTGAAATGATTTATAGAACGTCTTCTCCACTGCATGCAGTTCAATCCCTTTTGTTTCATGACTGTGGGCTGAGTCAGGTGCACTGACATGCCGCATGCGGGAAGTGCATGTCTGGTCACACCACACCGTCACCTCATTAGTCTCACTTCCCATGGTATGTCATGTGTCATAGACCACGTTGGTCCAAGTTAGTGTGAGCGTTTAGGAGCAGTAAAGAGCACACACAGCATAAGTTGGGTCACGGCCCGGCCCAGTAGTAAAGAAAAGTCGTCTTGTATTTGTGACTGGTCAGTTTTAAACTTGTAAAATTTAAGTTTATCAGAAAAGTTGGCAGTTGGTATGTAAACTCATCATCTTTGAGTCTTTGTTTTCAGACTATGTTTCACAAGTGTTTTTTTAACTGAACATAATATAAATCTTAAAGGTATAAGCTTAATACAGCTGTAAAGCTGCCCTAAAAAGAAGACATTCCTTAGGATAAAGAAAGAATTGATTGGTTAGGTATCCGTACGCAGCGTCTGCATGATTATGTATTTATAAAATGGAAATGGTGTGAAGTTAACAAAACCTAGCCAGACAGCCCAGTCGTCTTGCTTACAGGAAATGGACGCTGGATGGATTGTATCACCAGTGGAATCTGGTTTGTGTTCTGTTATGTATTAGCATTTACTGTGCCATAGTTAACGTGGGGGTTGCCTTTCCACTTAATGGTGTCTTTGACTTCAGCAGTTATGAAAGCAGAAACGCTGCGGTATTTTAACTTGTACAAAAGCTGCATCTGTTTTTTAAATAGTTATTCGAAGCCATCATGTAGACACTAGTTGGTGCCTGCTCTCTGATTGCAAACATGCTCCTTCCGGGGAGCTTGAACTTGCGTGCCCAAAGCAGGTCTCGTCTCGTTCTGCAGCTGTCGGATGCAGCCCTGCTTTCAGCTCTTTACTTGACCTTAAGACTGTTTGCTTTGTTTTTTCATTCAAAGTTTGGGGCTTTGTTATGGTACCATTGCAACAAATCTCATGTTACACCCCTCCAAAAAAAGTAGAGTCTTTAGTAAGACTCTTTATTTCATAATTTTGTAGTATTGATATTTTTTCCTTGTAGGGTTGGTGGTGATCCTCAGGAAATGGGGGAAGAGGCAGAGCAAATGTTCAAAAGGATTAGCAGATTGTGGAAAAAGGAGGATTTGGACAGAAGGAACCTGTTGCATTAATTCTTAACCACTAAGCTTATAGGAAAACTCCAATATTTAAAATTTTAAACAAAGCTATATAGGTAAATACCTTTTTGAAAACAAATGTAATTTTACACTGAAAATGCACATAATTACAAAGACATAAGGGTTATTCTTGCTTTTTTCTCTTACAGTAGCTGTTATGTTTAAGGGAATACTTTGTTACAATCTGTTTAACTATCTCATGATGATAATGTGTGATTGTGTGGTTTAAAGGAAAGAATAAGGACAAGAGGGGTAGTTATGTTTAGATGAAAAGACATGTCTCTTGTGTTTTAGTTTTTCAGTGATAAAAATGACCTAGGTTTATCTTAAAAGTTAAAGTCTGATGCCTTGAATATTGGGGTATGAAACTTAGGGCAACATATATTATAAAATGATGTCACTATTGCATTTTGATTTTAGAAATTTGGTAAGCTGTGTGATTTTCTAAATTTATGTCTGTTCTAGTGGTTGTTTCTAAGTTTCACCACTTGAAAATGTTGTGTGTTCCCTCAACTCCCGTTTTGGGAAGCAGCCACTTTTTAATTAAAACATTAAAGATTTTAAAGTGTTGCTCTGTAAAACCTCAAGACAAATCTAATTCATCTCTGCTGTCTTCTGTTTGTCACACTGGCCGTATTCCAGCAGATTTCCTAGTCAACTTACCCCTCAGGTCGTATAGTGCAAGGTGCCCTGGGCTTGGTATATTTACAGCACAGGAGTTTAGTGCTTTATTTACTTAACATTTATATTAGTAGACAAATTTGAGGGTTTTTTCTTTTTCTTTTTTTAATGAAAGGTAGAGTTTGTTTTTTTCCAGCCGAATTAATCGAGCTGTTCAAAAGAGATAATCTATAAGAATGCTGTATCAACAGGGCACAATGGTACTTGTCTTTACCCCAGTGCCCTGAAGCAAAAGCAGGTGGAGAGCTGTGGATTTGATGTCAGCTGTGTGTAGATCGTGAGTTCTAGGCCAGCCAGAGGTAGTAGTAGGGCCCTGTCTCCAAAAAGCACTACAACCCAGATATAGAACAGTTACTTTTTATTTTTAATACTAATTTGTAGTTTGGTGCTGTTTAGTTTCAGAAGATTCCTCTGTGACAAGATCAAACCAAGACTTTTATAAAATCATTTTCCATTGCCTCCCTCTGCTTCTTTTGTGATCTCTAATATTTAATTGACTTGTATGCCCACTCTTTATGACTACATTGCATAATAATTGGCTAACATGTTGGCTGTTTAATGAAACATTTTTTAGTGTTGCCAAGTATATTTGTTGTTGTACAGAGTTACATGAATTCATTCATAAACATATTGTAAAATCAGGTCTAAAATTACTCCCAACATAGTTACATTAATTCTTTCAGTTTATGTTTCAGTGCTTGTACTGTGGGCGCCATGCTGGAATAGCTACATCCCTGGCGCAAAGGGTTAAGGGCAAGGAGCGCTGGTAGTTTAAGAACTTCTCCTTCCATATGTTTCCTATGTGCCCCTCTTAAAATACTTTGCTTTTGGTTTGGATAGTTCCCATTTTCCAGAAGAAAGGCCATCTCATGTTGTCCATACTTGTTACGGTTCACTGCTCTTTGGTAAAAGTCTTGGTTGCTAATGAGGCAATACTTTAAAGTATTGAAGTTAGTAATACTGAGCCTGTGAATTAAAGTAATGCCTGGTAATAATTGTTATTACCAATAACACTATTCTAGGTTGTTTCCTTGTTTAGTTAACAAAATTGAAATAAGACTTAAGCAGGTTGAGCTTAGGTACAGTTTTGATTGCTATGTGATAAGATCCCAGTTGGTGGAGGAGGGAGTAATAGTTTGCTGTATCAAAACCTTGTTCCGCGTCAGTCTGCTCATTGACTGTGCGAAAGGGCCTTGACGTCTGTATAAGCGCTAATGTGAGAACTCTCTCAGGGTTCTGTCAGTGGAAATGATCAATTGGCATATGAACCACAGATCAGTTATGATTTTGAAGACAAAAGAAAATGCCCTACAAGATAATCATACAAATTCTGCAAGATGATTAGCAAATTGACATCTTCTTTCAAACATATTACTACGACAAACTCACTCATGGACAGAATCAAACGCCCAGCCCCGCTTACCCATCACCTGCTCCAGTTTTATAGTCGCTGTTCCTTCTCCTCAGATGACTACACCGTAGCAAACCTGATGGTCCTTTTTCAGTTTTTCTTTTCTTCGGCAAAGCACGTACTCTCTTTTGTTTTGTGTATATGTTTTTTTCCTAAGAGCTTTGCATAAAAGCTTTTTACTCAGCGCTTCAGTTTTATAATTAGGTCCCACCCATCCGATCTATTCATCTGGTACATAAAATCTTTCCAAGGGATATGGGGACACCTAGACTGTAAGGATTCAAAAAGTTAAATACCATTTCCAGGATAGATAGAAGAACAAACATCATTAATCAAATGCCTTTACATATAAATAGGAGATACTCTTTAGTCCATGTGATCATTCAGTATTTTATTATTTCCTACTTAGATATATCTGCTTAGAACATTTCAGATACCTATTAAAAACATTATTTAATAATGGAATCTGAATGTAACAAATAATACAGTAAAGGTTGATATTTCCTTTTTCGTTTTTTTGTTTTTGTATTTCGAGACAGTTGTTTCTCTGTGTGTATTCCTGGCTGTCCTGGAACTCCTTCTGTAGACTGGGCTGGCCTTGAACTCAGAGAGATCCACCTGCCTCTGGCTCTTGCTCTTGAGTGTTGGAATTGAAGTCATGCTAAGTTGTTTCTTAAAAACAATTTAAAAGCAAAATTCAATTTTTGGAAGCCATAAAATAAACCAAGTATGTGACCAAGTCTAGGGTTGAAATGTTAAACTTTATAATTCAATGAAGAAAACTTGTATTAATTTTACAGGGTAGCTCAGGTAACTTGTTTATTTTATACTGATTAGTTGTGTATCCAGTGATGGTCTATGTGACAACACAGTTGTGCTTTTTTTGTGTGTTTTCTCTAAGGTTAAAAAGGTTTTCGTGGCTTAAATGTTGTTACATATTTTACAGCATTAGGATCTATGGAATATTTTGACAACTGCAACAGTTCAATGAAGTTGGTAATTTCTTCTTTTAATTATTTTTCATTGAACAGCTTTGGAGTTACATGTCTACATTTTAGATTCTGGTATAAGAAAACTTTTAAAATGTCAGGATGCTTTAGAGAAAATATATAACCCCTCTTACAACAAAAGGGTTATAATCTAGCTGTCATTAAGTTATTTTTGCATTATTTAAGTTTGGTTAATGTCTAATTTTGATGACACACTCTGGTGTTTCTTTCTGTTGCTGATTATGTACGTGTGATTGTACTTACTAAATAGCTTGATTGGTAGGATTTTATATATTTACCAGTCATAACTAGACTTCCCATAGGGAGAATGGAACTGGCTTTGTTCAGTAGATGACACTCTGGAACAAACTCCCTGTAGCAACATCGTAAATAATGCTTCAGAACCTTGAGGGTAGATTCTTAACAAATTGCTTTTTAAAATGGTTGTCAAGTTATTTGAATCCTGTTTTAGAGATTAGCGATGTATTGTTTCTGTTGGGTGCACATCACCAATCAATACGTTTGATTTCAGATCTTCAGCTTACTGCTTTGTAAACTTCGCCGAGGTAAAATGAAACCATTTGGCTACTTGAACTGATCTACATTGCACAGGCGTTTTCCTAATAACATTTGTGCCAGATAACACGTCAGAGCTAGAAGTAATGAAACAATACATCTTCCTCACTCTGAATTGGCTTACTGTTAAATATAATTATTAGAAGTGCGAGTCACTGAGAGCTGAGCTCTCCCCATGTTTGTAGACCGTAGTCAGCATCTGCTTATAGCAGCACTAGGAAAGACCAGTCGGGTGTGACCGCTCAGTTTCTCACTCAGTACTGGTTTAAAGACTTTGCTTTTTAAAAAATACATTGTTGTTAATTGAAAATCATGCTTTCTATATTACTAATTATGTTATAAGGGCGAAATTTTAAAACTTTTTGAAACTGAAATTAACATTTTAGCAAACCATGTGCTGTTATGAAAGATAAGGGGTCCCAGGGTTATTTGTATTCTCTAGCTCTGAGATTAGTAAATATGTTTTTAAAATATATATTCCCTTTGTAAATTTTGAGCTTTTTCGACATTGGGTGTTGACGTGTACAGAGTTGAAGTACTGTTGTTGTAGAAGGGTTCCTAGATGAGAGACAATGTGCAGTGTCTTGAGAGCCATGGTAGCGAGGGGACGTGTATTGTTAGCTCCGTGCTCAGCTCCGCAGTGTCGTGGTAACGTGTTTGCCTTTGTTTCCTTGCAGCAAGGAGTAAATAATGCTGAGAAGTTTGACTATGTAAGTACAACACAGAATCATGCTTTTGCATTACATCCCTCAAGTAGTTCATTCTGGTTACTAATACTCCTAATTTGGTTTATAGGTGATGCAGTTTTTGAATAAGATGGCTGGTAATGAATATGTTGGATTCAGTAATGCAACGTGAGTCTAATTTGTTACTTGGGCTTTTACAGTTGGTCGGACTTCTTTAAATTCACCTGATAATTAGACTATAGAATTTTATTTTCAGTACTGTTTTACTTTTTATATATACACATATTCAAGCACACATATACATGTATGTAGGTACATGCACATGGTCTCCTTATGGCTCTAGAACTTACTTCAACCAATAGTTAATTACTTAGAATTTGGTCATTAGAGGTAGGTGTCAGTTACCTGAAAGAAACATTTAAAAGGCTTAGAAGCCACAGCCAAACCTTAGGCAGTTCTCAGAATCCCATAGAAGAGGGGGAGGAAGGATTATAGGTGCAGAGGGGTCCCATAAGAAAACCATAGAATCAACTAACCTGGGCTCCTAGGGGCTCACAGAGAGCTTGCATGGGACTGACCTGCGTCTTCTGCACATAGGTTAGAGTTGTGTGGCTGGGTCTTCTTATGGGGCTTCTCTAACAGTGGGAGCAGGGACAGTCTCTTGGTTCTCTGTTACCTCCTTCTGGGTTGCCTCAACTAAACTCAGTAGGAGAGGAAGTGCCTAGTTTTACTGAAACTTGCTTTGCCCTGGCTGGCTGATATACATGGGGTGTCTTCCCTTCTCTGAAGAGAAAGGAGGAAAAATTGGGTGGGGAGGTGTTGGCGGAGGGACTGGGAGGAGATGAGGGAGGGGAACTGGCCATCCAACTACCAGGACCCAGGACAATTTGGAGGTGGGGGGAGGGAGACTGGAAGTAGAGTTTCTCTGGCAGTCCTGGAACTCCAGGCTGCTCTTGGATCTCAGAGAAGAAATCATAAAGTTAAGTAAACTTTTTTTCTTTTAGGTTTCAGTCTGAACGAGAAAGTGGAGACCGAAATTTTGCAATTGGATATTACTTAAAAGAAAAGAAGGTTTTTAAATTTTTGTTTCTATTCAAGGATATTTTTGTGTACTAAAATGACATCTAAGAACTTAGTGTAGCCTTTAATGGTTTAAAGTGAAAAGTTTTGACAAAGCCCTTTTGAATTCTCAGTTGATAGCAGATGACTCATGCTACTATTAAATTGATTTTATGTGTCTGGTAGTATTAGGTACTTGATTGACAGTGTTAGTGTGGATGCTCATCCAAGTTTGCTGCATTTTATTTCTGAAGTGCAGTGTCGGACTAGTGCTGATAAACCTTGTTTTGTTTTTTAAAGAACTTTAAGAGACTGATTCAGTACGATGATAAATTACAATTACTTAATCTTTGTCTCTTAAAATAGAATTTAGGAATTTATATAAGATGGTATAACTTTTCTATATATATTCTATAGACTATATTTTTATGCAAACTGAAATATTTTTATATATCTTAAACTTAACACTGATGTATTTTTTTTGTTTGCCTGAGTTTTCATTGCTTTTCTGTATTTGAATTTGCTTTTTTCAGTGTTTTCCGGAAGGCACAGACATGGTTGGGATACTGGATTTTTATTTCCAGGTAATTGATTGTATAATTTATCTTTGTAAATAGATGTATCACGTTTTACAAAATGTGATGTCTTAGAAACACTGACTCTAGGCCATGAGAAAATAAATTTCATGTCATGAAAGGCTGTTTAATGTTGTGTGCTAAAGACCCACACATGGGAATGGAGCAAGGAGAACAGTGTAGACATGCGTGCAGATGGGGGGGGGGACCCAGAAACTCATTCCCTGCTCTGCTCTCCTAGTGTTTATTTTGCATATGCAAACCTGTTTGGTTTTCAGAGGGCTTCTGTCAGTATTTTAAAATGTCACTCTTCTGTGCTGTCTCACTTTCTGCTCTCACTGTGTCTTTTGATCCTGATTTAATTGGAGCCGAGGGTTGTTGAGCTGTGCCGTCAGTGTCACATATACGTGTGTTCCTCTACGTTAGTTCTCCATATCTGTGTCGTGTCGGGGAGCGTCCCGCACACGTCATTTCTGTGGTACAGATCTCAGTTTAGTATTTTTACATAATAAAGTTGTAATGGGAATATGCATAGACTAGGTTTTGTAAATTTCTATTTACTTTGTATTTGACTTACGAAGACACTTTGAATTCTAACCTTTTGGTATCCTTATAAGATGTTTACGGGAGGTTGGTAATGAAGTTTGATGGAAGTACAGGTTCTACATATCTGTTTATTCGGCGTGAAAGCTGTATTGGGAATCCGATCTTTCCATGTAAAATTTAATTCAATAGTGACCTATTTGGGTTCTGAGCCCTCTTTCGTCCACCAGCAAGTACAGCATTGAACATGGCATGAGCTGTGTGTGACTCCTTGAAACGATCATTTGAAAATAATGTCAGTTTTATTCTAGCCAATAAAACATTAATTGTCGCGTACCGTCCCCGTGTCTGCGCTCGATGCGCTATTACCCAGTCTGTGAGCTTCCAGCAAGGGAGCTGGAGGTTAAAATACACAAACACACACAGACAGAGAGACAGTGACACGGGTCATCCTTGAATTCCCCAAGAATGCCCCCTTTATTGTGTTCAGGGGCAGATTATATAGAGAGAGCCACGCCCCAGCCAAACCCACCAGAAACCACTCTCCTGCCATCAGGAACTCCTGAAGGTCTCGTGCTCAGGGCAGCTGTAGGCACTCAGATCAGGGGTTTACAAGAAATTCAGGATCTGGGGTCTCACTGCTCCCAACAGTTAATTTTGTCTATTACAGTTTGAGAATCTATTGTGAAATTTTGATTCTTTAGTGCAGGAAGAAATTAAGAGATAACCATAGAGGTACTCTTTTCTATAGAGAACTGAGTTTTACTAAGTGAGCATCAAGCTATTAAGAAATTGTTCTTAAATTTGGCAGTGTCCAGTTAGGAGACTATTATTTATGACAAACAGAATTTGGTTAATACTGATTATGAATTAGGAAATGATTAAGGGAATTTACGTTTTGTTTTTGTAAGCATTTCCCTACTTAGGCAATGATAATGGGAATTTAAATCCTCCACGGTGAGCAAAATTCTGATTAATATTAAGTATAAACTAGGAAATGGTCGTGGGAGTTTAAATTTTATTTCTAAAAGTGTTTCCCTGCTCAAGCAATAATACTGGGATTCTCCTTCCTGGCCTGGAACTCACAGTGTAGACCAGGCTGGCCTCCAGCTCACAGAGATCTGCTCAGTTCTGGTATTAAAGGTGTGTACAAACATACCTGGCTAAATCTGAATTCTTTTTAGAAAGCCATTTTCCTACTAAGTCTTTGCTCAGTGGGCCACTGTCACTTGATTCTTTAGTTAGGGAAATTAGCCTTCCCCGCTTCCATCCAGTTTTGGTTGCTGGTAATTAAAAATAAAATGTGGAGAAATACTATTTTAGGTTTAGAGGTAAACTTGGGTTTGTGAGGTAAATTGTTAATGCGTTGATGTCATATTTCAGTGCTGGGATCAAACTCGGCGTGGTTGATACGGAAGGCGCGAGTCCTGCTGCCGAGTCCACCCTCGGCTTTCATTTTTGTTATTTTGATGGCATTTACAGTGTCATAAATTTGGAGATCTCTGAATAAATCTTAAAACGACTAGAACTTTGGTCAGTTGAAATCTTAGAATGGCTTCAAGTTAGAGTAAAATCATCTCTTTTGAAGCCGTATTTCAGATTTGTAGGCAATCTCAGATAAAATGGCTTGACATAGAAGGCAGGTGAGATAAAGCACCGTGAACCTAAATTTTTATAACTCGGTTTTTTCTTTGTTTTAGCTGTGCTCCATTGAAGTGACCTGTGAGTCAGCCAGTGTGATGGCCGCAACACTGGCTAATGGCGGGTTCTGCCCGATTACCGGCGAAAGAGTTCTCAGTCCCGAGGCCGTTCGGAATACACTGAGTCTGATGCATTCCTGTGGCATGTATGATTTCTCAGGGCAGTTTGCATTCCATGTAAGTAATTGCTGATTAGTTTTCTCTTGCAAGGAACTAGTCTAGACTGGTGCTTTTAAAAGTGCAGTTTGAACTTTGCTTCTAAAGCTGTTTTATTTCTGGAGAGAGGCTTGTTTCCAAGGTTAATTGGTTACACATGAGTAAGAAGTAGAGTTAACTAGTATGCGAGCTGTCCTTAAGAATCCACTCATGATACAAGGTTAGTCCAGACTTGCTGTGGGCTTCTTGTTGATGCTTGGCATTAGGGTGGGTTGTACCTCAAGAAGTCCTAAACTCAGGAAATGCACATGCAAAGCCTGAGTCCTTGCTGAAGAGTGTGAAAAGTAAACCTTGAAATGTTTTCTTTTTCTGAGACAGGTTTCTCTGTGTGTGTGTTTCTCTGTAAAAACACAAGCTTACATCATAATTCCCTTCCAAGTATAGTTTTTGGAATTTTTTTCTTTTTTTAAGAAACTTGTCTTTTCCATATTCTTGTGTGTGTTGGTGCGTCCACCAGCGCCTACGCCTTGGTTCCAAGACTGAACTCAGGCTGCTGTACTCAGCGTCTTGCTCCTTTACCACTCAGGGCCATTTTGCAGATCCTGCAGTTTTCAAATGCAGTAGAGAAATGCATCTCATATTATTCATCATTCACCTTTGATCATTATCAGTCCATGACCAGCCTTGTTTCATCTGTGTGCAGACTTGCTTTTCAGTCTTGTTCTTCTCTAGTATGGAATTGTAAATACATAGCACAGCATTATAGTGCCGTAAAACTTCACTGTTGCATAGGAAACAGTTAATGTTATCATTTAGCAATACTACTAAATTTAAGTACTATAAATTATGATTTATATAGTTCTACATTTTGTTTGATTTAGAAAGTAAATAATTACTTTTTTTCATGATCTCTTTTTAACTTATTTTTACCTGAAAACATTGAGTCATTTATTCCTATTTTTTTTTTTTCAGAATAGATTTTCCTCTGGTCTGTTTTCCCTTGTATTTCTTATAAGCTGGCAGACCTGATCTGATTGTTTCGTTTGTTTGTCTCATTAGTTTTTACAAGATGGCTGCAGTGGTACAGTTCTGTCAAGCACTTGACGTCTGACTCTCAGTAGTCCTCTAATAAATGTTTCTCTGGCTCTGCTGATTTTTACTTTATCTTAATTGTTCCACCATTATACAGTGATTCCATCTTGCATAATATAAATTTAAATTTTTTTAAGAGGATTAATTTGTATTAACATTTCTCTATTCTTGGCTATTTCTCTGACTATTGAAAATCTTATGAAGATGCAATTCCTCATTATTTTTTAATTTATGAAATATTTTTAGAAGAAACTTTTATTTAGAATCAGTATGTTTTTTTAGGATAATTAAAAACTAGGGCTCTGTAAAATAGCAACATTCATAGCCCCACAGTTCAGATTCAAGCACTTTTAAGTTACATTTAGTTTACAAAATGTCTTTAAACTTTTTCCAGTGTTGTACTATATTCCAAGCTTATTTGAACTTTATTTACTGTATCATAAATATATCTATGCAGTACTTTTAATGTAGAGTTATTTTATTTGGGTATACACTATTACTTAAAATATTTTTGCATTTATTTATGTGGAAGGTGAAGGGTTGGGAAATACTGACTTTTTAGGAAGGGGGAGGGTTGGAGGTGTCCTTGCACCCTGTGGGGATCTGAGGAAAGCCTGGAGGAGCAGTCCTCCCCTTCCACGTAGGACTCAGGGATTGATCTTACATGTGCCCTAATCGTGAAACAGTTCTCAAACGTAACTTTTGTATATCCTTTTAAATTATTTTCAGGTTGGTCTTCCTGCAAAATCTGGAGTTGCTGGGGGTATTCTGTTAGTTGTCCCCAACGTCATGGGCATGATGTGCTGGTCTCCGCCTCTGGACAAGATGGGCAACAGTGTTAAGGGAATTCACTTCTGTCATGTAAGCACATTTCCTTAGTGCACAGAGGGGGGGCATACNTTTAATTTAGAAAAAAATTATCTTTTGTGAAGATATTGACTGTTCTGAAGATTGCCTAGAAAGGAAACTAAAAATACCAGAAAGTCATTTGAGATTTTATTTTTAATGATGTATAGTAGGGAGGGATTTTCCCATTGGTTGTACTTGAATTATTTAAAGAACGACTTGGCTGACACCCTCCCCCCTGCCCCCACACACAATCACATAAAAGTAAAAACCAGAAACACTTTTATTCTATTTTCAGGCTATTTCTGCTTTTGAGGAAGAGTGCAACTAATTTTATTTGTTGTTCAAATAGTAGGGGATAACCACTGCCAAAACAATAAAGTGTTTTTTAGTCTTTGCTTAGGATAAACTTGTTCTCAGCAGAATAGAATTCATGTGGTGTGGGCTGACTGTAATACAGACATCTACCTTCAGGAGCTTTCGTTTATCCTCTCCAGTCAGTCCAGAGAACATCCAAAGCACGCACACTGCACGCATTCATTGTTGGGGCATTTTTCTGTTTTAGAGGGATTCCCTAACTATATTTTAAAAGTTTTGAATAGGAAAGTGCTCTTGTTTGCATTAATTAGCATTAATATGTGATATTTCAAATTAACTTTTGGTTCTAGTTAACAGCTTTCATTGTGTTCAGTAATAGTTTATGTTCTGTTCCTGCGAAAGAACGGCTGGCATTGAGTGTGCACATGTACGCGTGTGCGTCTCAGGTTATGAGAATGGTAACCGTTCTTCCCGTGTAGCCCTTTGGGATGATTTGTTGGATCACTGTATTCTTACTCCAGGGTTTGCCATAAAGAACTAAAATTTTTGCCAGTCTCAATTTAACGAGATCTATTCGTGTTCACTTTAAAGACTTGTGGTTTTTCTTGTTGCTGTTCCTATTTGCTGCCGGTGCTGTCTGCCAGGAGAGTAAGGAACAGTGTCTGAAAAGTCCAGGGCAGGGGAAGCAGGGATGTCTGAATGCCTGCCTGTAGGTTCGTGGTACCTTACGCACTTTCCAGCGTTTATTATAAAGAAGGATTATTCACTTAAAATAATTAATGCTACTATCATTTCACTTTATAGGTTGATTTGCAGTTCACTGCAAATTTAGTCATGAGAATTTTCTTTATTAATATTTTGTTTTTATTTTGTGTGCATTGGCATTTTGCCTGCATGTATGTCTGTGTGGGGGTGTTGAATATACTGCAGTTACAGACAGTTGTGAGCTGCCATGTGGGTGCTGGGATCAAATCTCAGTTCTCTCTTTACTGAGTGTTTTAATTTCCCAGATTATAATTTATTTTCAATTTTTAAGAACTCAGCAATAGAGAATTAAAACTTAAATCTCTTTTAACAATTGAGTTATTAAAGCAACTTTACTGTAAATAAAAATGAATAAGTTTTAAAATTATATGCTTTTATTTTTTAGTTTAGTGGTTACCAACTACTTCTTGGTAATGTTTCAGCTTTTGTGTTTATTTTCATTTACTGCTTCCCAAAGCCCTTGTTGGGTGCTATATACTTATGGGCTTCCCAATTGAAATTCTGATTACAGTTCAGGCTTACATATTTTGCAAATCTAAAGAATGGAATTGTATTTTGGTTAACTGATTTTAAAAGAAAAAATTTCATGGTTACACAAGTTGCCTTGATGTGACTTGTTAAAAGTCCTTTGTTATAGAAATTGACAATTTGAGTGACTAAGCCTTAATGTTCAGGTCTTACCCAGGAGTTGTTCCTCTTCCTGACCATCGGGCTGTTCGACTAGCCAGCAGCATGGTTGCTAGGAGACAGTAGTGAGCTGCACAGCATAAGCATAATTTGCTGGACTATGAATACACATAGCCGGGGGTAGCTGATTTCTTAACCATATTTGCTGGACTATGAATACGCATAGCCGGGGGGAGCTGATTTCTTAACCATACTCTGTAACTCTTCACAGGATCTTGTTTCTCTGTGTAACTTCCATAACTATGATAATCTGAGACACTTTGCAAAGAAACTCGACCCTCGGAGGGAAGGTGGCGATCAGAGGGTAAGCCCGTCCTTTCTTCCTTCTCCTTTGCTCTCTGGGACAGGGAGCAGCCTCGCCTGCCGTCACAGACAACCCCAGTCTTACAGTTCCATGTAATAAATAAGGTGCTCCCGTTTTTATTTTCACTAGTACATAGATACTAAAATCATCTTTTGATATTTAAAATGGAAATGCTTAGCTTAGCAGCAGTGTTGGTTTCTGCTGCTTTATGTAATTGTTTTATAATTGATTATATTAAAATAAGATATTGGAAGATTTTATGTATTATTAATCCAATTTTTAAAGCCTTGTTTTTACTGTTAATATTTGTCAGTTATTGTTTGGGGTTAAGTTTAGCTCATTGTCTACTGTGTGGATGGATATGTAAATAGAAAGCTACATTAAACTTCATAACAAAAAGGCCACTGGAGATAAAACACTTTCCAGAACAGGTTTAATGATACAATGTTGATTAGAGGCAATAAGGAAGCTCTACTACTCCATGCTAAACACCCCTAAGGTCTTGCGTGTTACCCCTGTTTGTGGCCTCATGATGCATAGTTATTTCAGATTTAGAGCTATTATTAAGATCAGGACTTGTTGGGCAGTGGTGGCGCACACCTTTAATCCCAGAACTTGGGAGGCAGAGGCAGGCGGATGTGAGTTTGAGGCCAACCTGGTCTATAGAGAGTTCTAGGATAGACTTCAAAGCAATAGAGAGAAACTCTGCCTCGAACCACCCCCTCCCCCAAAGATCAGGACTTAATTTTTTTTTTTCATTGGACCAAAGGAGTTGCTGTTGAATTTTAATAACATTCCTTTGTTTCCTATATGAAGAAATACGTTAGTATATAGAAAAAGTATTAGAAAAGCACTTACAAGTAGTAATTTAAATGTGTGCTGAGTACATTTTTGTAAGTGCTGGCTTATGCGTGTGTTAGTCTGTCTGGGAACTTTTCTGCCAGTCAACACGAGTCACACATAACGATGTCAGATGGCGGTGGGTGAGCATATTGATGGATCTCAATAACCTTCGTTGAAAAATACCGTTTTGTAGCATGGACCTTTTGTCACTCGAGTGCACTAATAAATTGTGTATGTTGCTTGAACAACTAGCATTCCTTTGGACCATTGGACTATGAGAGTCTCCAGCAAGAACTTGCTTTAAAAGACACAGTGTGGAAAAAAGTGTCACCCGAGTCGAGTGAGGACACCTCTACAACTGTAGTGTATAGAATGGAGAGTCTGGGGGAGAGACGCTAAAGACATGGGCTCTAGCTGCAAGAGTGCTGCTCTTACCTGGGAAACAACTTTAGGCTTTTCCCCCCTCCAAACTAAGTATTTATTTGAGTTTTTCATTGTTATCAGCCTTGGGTACTGGAGCCATAAAACTTTTAAAAAAAATTTTTTTTTGCTTGTAATCTGTGTATAAAGAAATGAAAAGATTTGTTAATTTTTAGACGAGCATTTATATAAGTAAAGCAAATTTTGCTTTATTTTTTAAAACTACAAAAATGCAATTTCTTTAATCACATTAAAATTTTCACTATATAGTCAGATAACCACATTGTTATGAGTTTTAAAACCTACATGTCAAAGTATTGATGGATTTGTTTTCTTTTCGAGTTATTTATCCTTTGCTATACCCGATAGGATATTGGTAGTGACAGTAATGAAGTACTTCCATGCTAAATACAAAACTAAACAGCCAAAGTAATCCAAATTATTTTATTTAAAAGAGCAGAAGATTATAAAATTAGCTTTGGTTTACCCAGATGTCAGTTATAGTGATAAATTGGATCTAAATATTTAAAATGCAGTTAAAATTTATCAAATATCTTAAAATACCTGTTTTGGTTTTGCTTTTTTGTGTTTGTTTTGTTTTGCCACTCCTCTTGTTCTGTGAGAACCGTGTATTGGGTGTTTCGGCTCACTGAAACAGTTCAGCCAAAGAATCGTCGGTGTGTGAGAACAGTGTGTGCTGTTGTTAAAAAGCTATAATGGTTAGCTGCTCAGAAAAAGACAGTAAATATCTTCAAAATGGATTGTATTTTCATATTATTCATGTAATTTTTTGTTGTATTTAAGTATGAATGGTAAATTTTGGTTTTTTAGCTTTTAGTAATTTTATTGTGTTTCATAAGTGCTAATGAATATTTCTTTTGTGATAAATTATTACATCTCATAAATTTTGTTCTTTTTGAACTTTTATTAGCATACTTATGAAATTAATTTAGTCTGAAGGTATTACATATGCAACTAAAATATTTGTTAAATCTGAATGCTTCTGTTTGTTTTAAAAATGCAATATTGAGAATCAAATCTTTTCAAGAGAACTATGGGCTCCATTTATCCGATTGAGAACAATTATATGGATTATTTTTAAAATCTTAACTTGGCCAAAAAATACTAAAGTTCTAAAGTATTTATTTGCATTTCTTCCTTCATCCATGTATCTTGTTTTTCCTCACAATTTCAAATTTATTTTTTCAAATTCATTTTTAAACTTGTAAATTTTAGGCAAGTGGTTGAGAATAAAAGCCTTACATCTCTTTAGAGTTAGGCACATGTGCAGTAGGACTGCGCAGGAAAAAGTACTTGATTGACATAGGTACTGAATAGGAAGGTGTAGAAAAGTCCTCGTGAGCAGTTTTGAGATTGGAAGCTGTGGTGTTAACAGAAGAAATTTCTCCCCAGAAGTGCTACCTAAAATCCTCGGACTAATTTAAGTATTAAGTTCTGTATTTAAATAATTCCATGGTGACTTTTAGAAAAGACTTCTCTGTTGCTCCAGTGTTCAGATGCATTTCCTAACTGGATGCCTCCTAAGTCTTGCCACTGCCCCTCATGTGGACATTCTCTGTACTCAGAATTTGCTGTTTCATTCAGAAGTTGGCTCTACTTTACAAAGTTTTCATATCATGTGCATATTTGTAAACTTCAGAATCCCCTTGTTAATTTCTAGCACGTCCTGTAGATAATGCTGGTAGTGTTGGGTGCACACTCAGCCATGAGGGGGAGTCAAGTCAGCTGCTGTGCTTGAGGAGCACCGTTAGGAACAAGCGTCCAGAAGTGTGTAGGAAGACACTAGAGTAAGAGGGGTAAGGTATTGTGTCTGCAGACTTCGACGACAAAGGAGAGGAAAGCCTTGCCAGTCCCTTCAGTGTTCTCAAATAAAGTGCTTGGAGAAGTACCCAGGATTGTTGGGTTTAATTTTCCCTGCCATTATTGATTCTTGATATTCAAGCATTTACATGATAGCGTATCTTTCTTTTTGTTTTTTTGTTTTGGCCATCATTAACATTTCATTTGAAATGCAGACTTCCTAAAATATTTTCTTTTTAGCATAAATGTTGTGCATTTTATCTTAGTGTTTGGATTAAAACATTTCTGTTGTTGAGCTTTTTCATTTGCTTTGTATATTTAATAATGTACCTTTATTTTCCAGTATGCCTACTTTTTGTATTGTACAATAAATTTATTTTAAGCTGATTTTATTGTTTTTTTTTTTAATATATATATATATATATGTATCTGTAAAAACACCAGTGATGTTTAAGATAACAACAAAAAAAAAAAAGCACTTGGGGTTTTAATTTAGAAAAAAATTATCTTTTGTGAAGATATTGACTGTTCTGAAGATTGCCTAGAAAGGAAACTAAAAATACCAGAAAGTCATTTGAGATTTTATTTTTAATGATGTATAGTAGGGAGGGATTTTCCCATTGGTTGTACTTGAATTATTTAAAGAACGACTTGGCTGACACCCTCCCCCCTGCCCCCACACACAATCACATAAAAGTAAAAACCAGAAACACTTTTATTCTATTTTCAGGCTATTTCTGCTTTTGAGGAAGAGTGCAACTAATTTTATTTGTTGTTCAAATAGTAGGGGATAACCACTGCCAAAACAATAAAGTGTTTTTTAGTCTTTGCTTAGGATAAACTTGTTCTCAGCAGAATAGAATTCATGTGGTGTGGGCTGACTGTAATACAGACATCTACCTTCAGGAGCTTTCGTTTATCCTCTCCAGTCAGTCCAGAGAACATCCAAAGCACGCACACTGCACGCATTCATTGTTGGGGCATTTTTCTGTTTTAGAGGGATTCCCTAACTATATTTTAAAAGTTTTGAATAGGAAAGTGCTCTTGTTTGCATTAATTAGCATTAATATGTGATATTTCAAATTAACTTTTGGTTCTAGTTAACAGCTTTCATTGTGTTCAGTAATAGTTTATGTTCTGTTCCTGCGAAAGAACGGCTGGCATTGAGTGTGCACATGTACGCGTGTGCGTCTCAGGTTATGAGAATGGTAACCGTTCTTCCCGTGTAGCCCTTTGGGATGATTTGTTGGATCACTGTATTCTTACTCCAGGGTTTGCCATAAAGAACTAAAATTTTTGCCAGTCTCAATTTAACGAGATCTATTCGTGTTCACTTTAAAGACTTGTGGTTTTTCTTGTTGCTGTTCCTATTTGCTGCCGGTGCTGTCTGCCAGGAGAGTAAGGAACAGTGTCTGAATAGTCCAGGGCAGGGGAAGCAGGGATGTCTGAATGCCTGCCTGTAGGTTCGTGGTACCTTACGCACTTTCCAGCGTTTATTATAAAGAAGGATTATTCACTTAAAATAATTAATGCTACTATCATTTCACTTTATAGGTTGATTTGCAGTTCACTGCAAATTTAGTCATGAGAATTTTCTTTATTAATATTTTGTTTTTATTTTGTGTGCATTGGCATTTTGCCTGCATGTATGTCTGTGTGGGGGTGTTGAATATACTGCAGTTACAGACAGTTGTGAGCTGCCATGTGGATGCTGGGAACTAAACTCAGGTCCCTTGGAGCAGCAGTCGGTGCTCTTAACCGCTGAGCCATCTTTCCAGCCCGTTACTTATTTTTTAAGAGTCTTGAAGGGTGAAATTTTAAATTTTAAATTTAGTTTACTTACATGTGATTTCCCCCCTCTCAGTTCTCTGCCACTTTCTGTTAGATCTTGCATATGCATTGTGTAATGAAGCCAG